GAGATAGGAATTGTGCCTGTTTGGTGTCATATAATTCCCAGCTGAGAGTGAGTCTCTATGAAACACTATAATCTGAATCCTCAGACTAGGACAAGACATTTTGAACCACCAGAGTAATGCTGTATTGCCACATCCTTGTAGAGCTTTACTTACATGTAGACATTCTGAAGAGTTATAAACAACATCTGCAAGTGTCAGCCACTTTCCATTAAAGTTTTTTTGGAAGTAAATAAAAAGCAGAACAAGTCAGAAAAAAGTCCCCCAAATGCATAGCTTCTGCAGGTGAGGTAGTTTTTTTGTTGCAACCAAAGTAATATATTGGGAATCTATTAAACAAAGCACTATCCCGATTTGTTTTGGCAGACTCTGCAGAGTACATGATGCTCAAACCACAGCCTTAACATTAATATATAACACATTAGAATTCTTATTGGCATGGGCCAATATCCCACAACTTACTTGGTGCATTTTTTTTAGAAAATCCTGACGCATGAAGGTTAAACACAAAACATGTAAAGAAGGCATTTCTGACTTATTGTGACCAGCAGCTAACTACCAAAAGCTTTTAGCTCCTCAGTGAAGATTTTTAAAAGATTTCCCTTGAAAAGCAGCCATATCATCAGTGAGTAAGGGCTAATTAAGTGGGTGGTGATTTACAAAACCTAATTTCTCTGTGAGAATTTTTGCTGTAGCAGACAGTCTCCACAGCTGAAAATGGGAGGAAAGAAGCAACCACCTCCTGCATGATTTAAAACTGGCTGGAAAATCTGTTTAATTCAGCCAGGATAATAAGGGTTAAAACATATGAAATCACTTGAAGTTATGGAACTGGATCAGAGACTGAAGGTGTGGTAAGGTGGGTGGAAGTGATCTTTTGAACTCTTGCTGTTTGAGTAATGGAAATATCTATTGTTTGTTTGTAAAAAGCAGATTCAAGAAAAATAAAAGACCTAGTCTTGGATCTTCTCTTGGATATAAGACTATTAAGAAGAAAGTGGATAGACAGAGATACAGACAGATACAGACAGAGAGATGACTGAAAAAACTGAGTAGTATTTCTGTGAGAGCTTTACTTCTGGCGGTTGGATTGGTCATATTTTGATGCCTAGAGGTCAGTCAAAACGAATGATGATCTAAAGATGAAATGTGAAAGGCTACATTAATCAGAAAGAAGTTTATCTAGACCGTGAAGAGTAGAGTCCTTTGAGGAACATAGATCTAATAATACAGATGGGGTAAATAGATTCGGCCTAAGAGAACTGATGTGGCAAAAGAAGACAAAATGTTAAATAAATTTAAGAAATTATTAGGAAGTACAGGAAAATATGATGCATCATTGGATTAAAAATTTTAAAAATGATCTAAATTATCTGATGCAGTCAAAGGCTGATATAGATAATATCAGGAACTGAGAAAAAACTAAAAGCATTGGTTTCAAGAGTTGAGGAGATGGAAAAATGGCTAAAGTAAATGTTCTCAATAGAGCAAGGTTGATAAGAAACTGATTGATTTGGAAGACAGAGGATGGAGGGAAAAAATGTAAAGTTATGTGGTGATGAATCTGAGAGACAAGGTCTTCAAATGGATAAAAGTAGTAGCTCCAGATGTGGTTTGGGGTCAAGAAGATTTAGAGAGATTACATTGTGTAAGTTTTAAATGCAGAACTAGAGTGCTTCCAAGATATTTTGTTGTGAGTTTTGCATTTCCCCCCCCAAAATTGAGACGTTTATGAAATTGGTGAGATAAAAGTCTGGACAGTTGGTATATAAAGAGGCACCTATTCAAGTATATCAAGAGCTCTGCTATAAAACTGTATCTTGCAGATGCTCTTTAAAATTGATGACGGTCATCCTTTGGAAGAATAAAACAATTGGGGATATCCAGTATACGTGAGAGTGCTATCTGCTAGAAGATATTGTAAAGTAAGCTAATTGAATCAAGGTATAGTTTGTTGCACGAATGGGGACTTATTGATGACAGTCAGTGGAAACAAGAAATTGGAAAAATAGAAGAAACAAGATCAAGCTATTATTTTCAAGGGGAAAGAGGAAGAGCAGGAAGGTCCTTTTGGTGGAAGTTCATTGGATTGATTTATTAGCTGAATGGGGAATGTACCAACAAGACAAGAAGAAAAATTGAAGGTGATGTGTTAATGGACAAGTTATGACAATTTGGGGTGTGTGTGTGTGTGTGTGTGTGTGTGTGTACCCACACACACACATCAACCATATATATATATGGTTGACGTGTATGTGTGGGTACACACACACACACACACACACACACACACACACGATTTTCTAGACTTGATTTGCAATTTCTTTTATTTTGTAATGGTGGTTACTGGGGGCAAACATTTATTCTAGCGTTTTCCTTTGTGCATGGATTGAGGCTGGTAACTAACGATATGGGCTGCACTGGACAAAATCACCAGAAATTGCAATGAACTGCTATCACTTATGAGTTACTCTGCAGCTTTTTATTATTAAATAGGAACAAACCATGCTTTTCTGTAGCACAAATAAACTATACGTTTGGATTCTATGCTTCAGTTTTGTCCAAGTTTAGATATAATAATAAACCGTGATTATCCTGGTTTATACCCAGCTGTGGTTAGGCTTGTTTTGTTAAATGAGACATAGACAAATTCCAGAGGTCTTGGGGGCTATTCCTGAAACTTGGAGGGGGCTTCCTATACTCCCTAAACAGTTACAATTTCTTTATGCCGTGTTATGGACATTTCTAACACAGTCAGGAATGGATAATTCAAGTGTGCTGTCCCAGCAACATGTCAAAATTGCTCCCATTCTCCCTGTTGTTCACAGGGGGATTTTCTGAGCAAAACAGATTGCTTAAGACATTATTAAAAATATTTTGCTGTGTGGATATTTAGTCTAGAGCACCAACTGGGAAGGGTAGAGGTGCTAGAGGCACATTTGGACCCCTGCTCCATTTTTGCCTGTCCCTGCCCTGTACCATATTTAAGATTAACCACTGTTTAATGTTCAGACGTAACAATAAATTGGTTAAGTGGAAATGGAAGTGAAGACATCCAGTCTCCTTGTGGCCATGCTGGAAGAGGAGAGAGAAGAGGAGAGTCCAAAACGAGAATCTGATTTCCATAATGCTGAATTAGTTTACTGATGTACCTGAAACAGGACTGCTCAGAAGATGGTGTATCAGCCTCATGTACAAATGAAGAGCTGTACAATTAATGTGTTCAGTATTGTGTTTTTGTGAGGGACTCTTTTGTAGGCAGTTGAGATAATAGAGAATGTTTCAAAACTATGTGTCAGGGTTCAGTAAAAGCAAAGTAAAGCCTGCTGCTTATATACCGCCCCATAGCGCTTCAAGCACTCTCTGGGCGATTTACAAGTTAATTATGCAGGCTACACATTGCCCCCCCAGCGAGCTGGGTACTCATTTTACCGACCTCGGAAGGATAGAAGGCTGAGTCAACCTTGAGCCACTACCTGGGATTGAATCCCAGGTCCTGAGCACAGTTTTGGCTGCAGTACAGCAGTTTAATCACTGCGCCATGAGGCTCTTCAGTAGAAGAGGCACCAGGACCCAGTCCAGAGCACGACCACGAACCAAGACCAACCAGCTGAGAATTTGAGTCCAAACAGCAGCCAGGTAGAAGGATGGTGCAAATCATGGTTAGACAGTCCAGGAGCCAAAGCCAGGAGGAACCATATCAAGGCAGCAGGGTCTATGGATGCAGGAGAGGCAAGGCAGAAACAAGGAGACTGCCAGGCAATGCAGAACTATCACCACAGCCAGACACCTTCATTGCTGAGGCAAAGGTCTGCATGGGAAGCTCTGTTCTTATATAGCCCAGTCTTCAGCTTCCACAGGTAACACTGCTGGACAACAGCTTCAGGGAAAGGGCCCAGTCTTGCAATCCTTAGAGCAGTTCTGCCCAGAGAAATGGCGCCGATCCTGCCTGCACTAAGGTTGCTGGGTTCCTGTAAGGCCCCAGTCATGACACTATGATACAACTTTATATAAAATATTAACTTATTTATTTTATGTTCCATGCTGTTAAACCATACCAATGTATTCAGTTACTTGAATAATTGTGGCCTGGTTAGCACTGTTTATGCTGAAAATATGAATTGGAGACTTAGAATTTAATTGACTGGATAATTTATAACTACTTTAAGCTGGCCACATAATTGTCTGCCAAATTTAATTCTGGAAATATTGAAAATGCTTCACCATCCTACAGTTCTGTCTTTTACTAATAAACCACTACAACGAAACATAAAGATAATCTGCGAGATGTGGGGAAAATGTATGCTTTTACAATGTATGTATCTGTGGTAGTAGCATTGTGCTTAAGCGCACAAATCACGTACACAGCGTACTAGCTTCCAGTAAAGGATGATAATTAGCCTACTTGTGTATCTAAGGTATTACCTGTCTCTGGGTAGATTAGCCTGCTTGTGTATCTAGGGTATTACCTGTCTCTGGTTAGATTGTACTTGATTAGCTTGTGCAAATGTAGTAGAAAACAATAAAAGGGGGCATGGCAAAGGATTGGGAGAAATTCCCGCTGAACAGCTGCTGCATGGCATGCTGTTTTGATCATCCGGATCCCGTCCTGAAACCACACTTGAGTGCTTCGTCTCTTCCTTTCTCCTTGCTGGTCAAGAGGGGGGGGGGAGGCTTCATCTGCAGATCCCGACAAGTGAGGATTCATCTGCAGATCCCAACAACAGAGGCTTCATCTGCAGATCCCGACAGCGAGATTTTGGAGGGGGTTGCAGTCAATCCTTGGATTAATTTGTATGTTAAGCTTGTACAGTGCCTTACCATTTCCATTTTGCTAATCTGTTGCCTTGTTAAAACAGTGTGCTTTAATATCCTGTTAAATATTGTGGCTATTTCTTAATGCAATGTATAGTTTAATAGTGTGAAGTGTGAAAAAGTATAAAATGTAATTACCTTTTCTCTCTTTTTCCATTTCCCCACTTTTCCACTTTATTTTTTTACAGATTTGAAGAACTTGTAAAAAAATTTAAGGTGGAATACCATGCAGGTGGATCAACTCAGAATTCGGTTAAAGTGGCCCAGGTCTGTTGCATTTTAGATTAGTTAAATATAGAAGATTGTAAGAGTTAAATATTAAAATACTTTGTGTCCCAGAGTTTTTTTCTCTTATGACTCAGAAGCAGAATTACATCATGGTAGGATGTATTCTATTTTGATTGTCATATATGCATGAAATGTCTGGCCATCTAAGTTGCTGATTTTTTTTTAAATCCTACTTTTCCTTTTTGTGGATGCTAATTATATACTTGCTTAGCTTTGTTGCTAAATCCAACAGAGCTCCTTATACCCTGTTTCCCCGAAAATAAGACCTAACCTGAAAATAAGCCCTATTATAATTTTTCAGGATGCTTGTAATATAAGCCCTACCCCCAAAATAAGCCCCAGTTAAGTGAAACCCTACCCTCCACCATTGTGCAGCAACCAGATGACATGACTGTACTTGAATAAGTGTAGACTGTTGTACATGAAAAAAATCCCCTGAAAATAAGCCCTAATGGGTTTTTGGAGCAAAAATTAATATAAGACCCTGTCTTATTTTGGGGGAAACACGGTAGTGTTGCAAACCAAAGATTAAAAAGAATAATTGACTCATTAGCCATCCTATAAAGATATTGTGGTCAATGATATCAAGGGGGGGGGAAACAAATTTGGAGCAAATAAATGAAATTATACCTTGAGGCTACCATAAGAAAAGATACCGAGAAATAAATGAGGAATAGGACTCAGCTTTTTAACAACAATAACAAATCACTGGAACTCCTAATAGTTTTGCTAAAGTGTTGGGGATGGGGCAGATTTAAAGAAAGATAGAGCAAATATCAAGCATCAAAAATAACGGTGTCAAAAGTACAGTGATGCCTCGACTTACTAACTTAATTGGTTCCGGAACTGGCCATAACTCGAAATGATTGTAACTCGAAGCACCATTTCCCATAGGAATGCATTGAAATGCAGTTAATCTGTATCGGCCAAAGAAACATGCACACACTGCAGGACCCATCGGAAACACGATTAATCCATTCTGCCTGGGGAGGGGAAGAAAAACAAACAAACCATGCAAGACCCATCAGAAGTGCAAAAAGCAAAGCTAGTAGCAAATAAACTGTGCAAGACCCATTGGAAATGCAAAAAAAGCAAAGCAGAAAGCAAAAAAACCGTGCAAGACCCATCGAAAATGCAAAAAAAGCAAAGCAGAAAGCAAAAAAAAGAATGCAATACCCATAGGAAATGGAGAAAAAGCAAAGCAGAAAGCAAACAAGCCATGCAGGACCCATTGGAAATGCAAAATAGCAAAGCAGAAAGCAAACAAACCGTGCAAGACCCATCAGAAATGCAAAAAAAAAAGCAAAGCAGAAAGCAAACAAACCCCACAAGACCCATCGGAAATGGGGGGAAACCCCAAAAGCAAACAAACCTTGCAACACCCATCGGAAATTGGGGAGGGGGACCTTGCAAGACCCATCACAGCATAGAAACATAATCCCACCACCCAGCCCCAAACCACACTGCAAAACCCACCCAGAACAGTTTTTAAAAAGTAGAAAGCAGCACTTTACCTGACCAGGCAGTCCGAAGCCTCCTCCAATCACACACTCTCTAACCAGTGGGGCAAAAGAGCTATGAAGAAGCAGCCTCCTTGTCACCAACAGTTAGCAATTTGAATTCCCTGCCTTTTTCCTGCCTTTTTCTGGTTGTAACTTGAAGCTTCGGCTGCAAGTCGAAGCAAAATTTTGTGATTGGAGCCGGTCGTAACTCGAAATGGTCATATGTCGGGACGTTTGTAAGTCTAGGCACTACTGTACAGGTATTGTAATGAGAGCTTCAGAAATGGGATGTAGGATCCTGGTGGGTGATTTGTAATGCTAGAAGCTGAGTAATGGGAAACTCCAAAATCAGCATGAGCATTTTTCAATTCAGACGTTTATGTTAGGCAATTTCCCTTCCAAATCCTTCCATCATGTTGAATTATCTTAATTGTACTAGTCACCACATTAGGATGACACATCATCAAAATTCCAACTTCTACTCCCCAACCCTCCCTCTTTGTACCAAGTACACAAAGCTGCCACCTTTGCTTCTTTTTGTAACTTTCCAGTCTGTTAAACTGTTGGTCTTTGTTAGGAACATTTAATGGCCTGAATAAAAAGCACAGAAAAGTAATGCTCCTATAAATATCTTTGTCTGCACTCGTATAGATAATATATTTCATGCATTTCTTAAATTTATATATCATTCCAGTAGTACAATGCACTATTCTGGGCAGTTTACAGCAAGATAAAAAAGACAAGCACCAAGTTTTAAAAACACACATAAACAATTGCATAAGCTTAAGAAGCGTAAATTATAACAAGCAGAATGTGATGCATGTTTTAAAATCAAGGCAGATAACTGAGAAGGGCCTCTCTGAAAAGAAGCATTTTCAGGCACCTTTTAAACATTGGGAGGGAGTCTGAATCTGAGCTAATCAGAGTATTTGGCAGAGGTGGGGAAATGGATAATACAGCCTTCAGAGGTGTTTCAGTGTAGGTCAGAGGTGATATGTTCCTTCATATAAAATAATCTCCCTATACAGTAGAAGTAAGAGTAAAAAAGTTGTATTTCATATCAAAGCTTGTAATTTTTCTACATAAGAAATTCTGCAGTGCTGGACTAATCAAAAATATTTAATCAGTTTTGGGTAGGCAGAAAAATTATAGAAACATAAAACAGTAGGACTGTCATATTTGTGGGATCAGTACCCACAGTTTCATTTATCTGCTGCCTGAAAATATTAAATAAAAAACCCCATAAATACCCATTTCCAAAGTATATTACTGGAACTGGCCACTAGAGGGAATCAGAGACTATGCTATGCAGAGAGTTTCTCTAGCCACACTTTCTGGCACCTGTGTGGGCAGGTGAACTTGATACCAATCTTCCATGGATACCGTGGACTGTGAATGGACAAAATCAAAATTCATGTTTGTTACACTCATACTATTCAATATTTAAAATGTCAGATTGGAAGTTACAACTTTATCCCTTTATCATTTGTGTGGCCCAATGGCCTCTATTTCTGGCATCTTCCCTTTTCTTTTTGGAAGACACCTGGTACTAAACAAAAATCCAATGCATTTTATGTTTACCTGATCCAGATAGAGCACATTATGAGAAAAATGCCTCCCTTCTTCTGTCATATGGACAGAAGAGAAAAAAAATCTGGATTCTAAGCTCTTCTTCATCATTTATATTATATTTAATAGATGACTTAATTGTTTTGATTACTTTCCTTGCTAAGAGTATAAGATAGATATATCTGGTTTGAGAATCAAAGAAAGAAAGTTCTTTGGTCCTTGTATATGATCTGGAGAGAAAGGTGGGAGGTATCTTTATTACTAGAGGTGGGGGTATATGAATTGAGAAGGAGAAAAAGAGAGAGGGGAACAAATGAAGCAAAAGAAGAGATGGATATTTTATTGGAAGGAAAATGGGGGGCATGAAGAGAACAGCGGGTCTGAAAAAGAGTCTTGAGTCAATTCAGAAAATGAGAGATCAAGATTTGATTGAGAAGCAGAAAAAGAGAGAGAGGAACAAATGAAACAAAAGAAGGGAGAGAGTTTGAAGAGAGAGAAAGGAAAGGAGGGGGGAAATAACAATAGCAATGTAAAAAATAATTGCTAAGTATTGTGTTTTTTTAATCAGTGAGAAGAAGAAAGTTAGCTGTCTTGGAAAAGGGTTGGAATATATTAGTGAGGGGTTATTATTTAGGTGGGTAGATGTGAAATTTAAGTTTGTTTTACTTTTGAATTATATGTATGTATGTTATTTGAAGATTATGGGGGACGTTCACAATTTGGAATTAGAGATGCACATTATTAGAAGACATGAATGGTTAAAAGTTTTAAAGTGTCCTTATGGAATCTGAAAGGCCTAGAATAAAAAATGAAAAGAGTTAAAATTCAGATTGTATTAAATAAAGGGGGAACTGACATTGTGTTCTTACAAAAATTCATTAAAAAAGAAGGGGTGAATGAACTCAATGGAAAATGGATTTATATTTATCAAAGACCATTTAGTACGTCAAAATCTAGAGGGGTGATATCTAGATTATAGATTGATATCTAAAATGTGAATTCAAGGTTAATCTAGTAAGTAAAGATAAGAAAGTTAGATGGATAATGATACAAGGACAACTTTAAGGAGAGAAATGCACATTAGTTAATGTTTATGCACTGAACAAGAAGCAAGAAAAACATTTTGACATAGTATTTAAGGAATTAGGTAAAGTAAGGAGAGGTTTTGTTATTATGGCAGGAGATTGTAATATGAATATGGATAAAATTCTGGACAAGACAAAATTACAAAAGAATGAAAGGAAAAGTAAACAGACGATATTAAATAAACTAATAAATAAAATGATTTGAAAGATGTATGAAAGGAATTAAAAGGAAACCAAAGGAGATATACTTATTATTCGGCAGTAAAACATATTTTAAAATGGATTATATATTTGTAACAAATGATTTATTATCAAGAGTAAATATTACAGAAATATATATCCTACAAATATCTGATCATGCAAACATTAATATGAAATTTAACATCAAGTGTGATTATGAAGAGGCAAAAAGATGTATACCAAGATATTTAGATTTAAAAACATAATTGAAAATATTAAAAGGAATCTAGAAGAAATATGGAAAATTAATGAAGAAGGAGGATGACATGATATGAGGTGCAATGAAATTTGTGGTCAGAGGATTGAGCATTAAAAATCCCATATAATTTAAGGAAGCAACAGGAAAAAAGGAGTAAAGATCTAGGAAAAAAATTCAAAAAATTAGAATAATATCTAAGATATTAGATTGTAAGCCGCCTAGAGTGGTCTAGTATGACCAGATAGGCGGGATAGAAATTATATTAAAAGGAATCTAGAAGAAATATGGAAAATTAATGAAGAAGGAGGATGACATGATATGAGGTGCAATGAAATTTGTGGTCAGAGGATTGAGCATTAAAAATCCCATATAATTTAAGGAAGC